CATATACCGCTGTGCTGCTGGGGGGGGGGGCAGTTTCAGGTTGGCCTCGACTATTAAATTCTGGATTGTAAGTCATAATTATTTTCAAATGCCGTCATACAAAGAGGTTATTATTGCTAACAAAATACATTTGAAGTTGGGGTGTGCATGACTTAAGGGTTAGTGTGTCCGGTGTGAATCCGAGGATTCATCACTCGCGACCCGTTGCTGCAAAAAAGTAAGAAGGGCTATGAGCAGGTAGCCCTTGTGTAGCTTTGTGCGAAATTATGAAACAAAGAAACAAATCGTGTAAGTAAACACGTGTGATGGTGACGCTGAGGATGATAGAAGGAATTTGAATTTTTCACACTTAGATTTAAAGGATGGCAGAATTGACACTTAAGTTACTTGCAGTGTGGTCCCCAGTGGGTCAGCGGTAATTTTACGGACTTACAATGCTAAAATCCAGGGCTCAAAGGATGACAGAATTAACACTTAAATTACTTGCAGTGTGGTCCCCAGTGGGTCAGAGGTAATTTTACGGGCTTACAGTGCTAAAATCCGTCGTCCAAAGGATGACAGAATTAACACTTAAAATACTTGCAATATGGTTCCCAGTGGGTCAGCGGTAATTTTACGGGCTTACAATGCTGAACTCCGGAGTCCAATTATTTGCAGTAGGTCGAGAACATACAGCCCATTTTATAAAAATCACTGACAACAACAAGTTGAGAAATCAACCAGTCAATAATAATAATAAAAACTACTTGCAGTTAAAAACTGTTTTAGTTGATCGTATTTAGGTGTAGTGTCAGATATTTACAGTTTGAAGGATGCTTGAAAGCAGATTAATACCATGAATATTTCAACATCGCTCTTAGGAAAAAATCTTAATAAATAATTTAAAACAGTTGTAACAACTTTTAGACACATTTTTACTAAAGTACCCTGTCTAATATGAAACGTTTAAATAGACAAACAGAGAAAAGAAAAAGAACTATTCCGTCAAAAAATCTTTTTTTGTGAAATATTATTGAAATTTGTTGAAATAGGTATCGATGTTGCACTTTGTGAATGCTCCAAAAACGACGAAAATCAAGTGCGTTCTATGTTACAATACAAAGTAATTAATGCACGGACTTCTGTTTAACTCTCTATATTATACGCGTTATAAAAATACGATGAAAAAAATGTTTTCTTTTAATTTCTTATTTAAGTAGGTCTCTGTTATTCACAAAAATATGTTTTTGTGAATAATGTCCTGGTAAGCTATAAAGTGGTACGTTATCTAGAAGTTACACTGTTCAGTTGAGGAACCAACATAAATAAATCCATGGTTTATTTAGACTGTTGCCTGGAAGTAAGAGCGTTCAACTACAAAATCGAAGTAACTGTATGTGTATTAAGATTTGTTTTGTTACCTGTACGTTACTATGTGCAATAGCGAATTAAACAGAAGTTTAATTTTTTAGTGTTATACTGCTAATTGCGAAGGCTTCTTTAAACAGAAATCTTTGAGCAGTGTTTGGGAGAAACCGAAATTTATTTTGCTGTAACGCAATAGTTTTTCAGATAATTTACAAATATTAAGTTTAATGTTAAATGGCTATTTCAAAGGAGGTTGAAATATTTATGTAGTGATCCTATAGACTTTGCATCGAGGGTTATATTTGTTACCACGTCAATTTTCGAAAGAAAGAGTGCGAGAGTGTCCATTGAAGCGTTTTACCATCTGAACACAAATCAAGACTCTTCCCTCCCCAAACCTTCTAAGAGGCGGTAGTCAATGGGCCAGATAGTAGGTTCTCATCTGGTTGGTTAAGCCGCCAATCTCACCGCCTTCGCTCCCTGAATTTCATGGTCTAGTGACCTTCTTGACAAGCTGATGGGCTGTGAGACGTTTCCAGGACTTGGCAGACTGCTTCTTAATCTTAAAAGTGAGTACATGTTTATGTTCAATCCGCTAGAGTGTCAGAGTTGCACATAAGTTATTCTTTCTTGATGTTGTCACCAGAAGAGTTATTTTACTAACTTGGCAGCAATATAACAGAATAGTATTTCAAACCGTACACTGGAAAAAGCTCGAAGTCACGTGAAAATTGTGTTGTGGAAGCAAAGCTTCAATGAGTCGGTGTTGGAAAGCAGATGTGTGGCGAACAACAGTTAAGATAATTTCTTCATTAAACCAGTGTTAAAATAATGAAAGAAAATATTATTAGAAAAACAAAGGTTAACAAAAACAGGTAAACATAAAACAAAAATGGACGTTAGAAAGTTTATTTGTGTGAACATCAAAATAACTTCGACAAATAACTAGGTATTATACCACTAACACTTTTATAGGTTTCCTTCAAATAAGCCTCGGAAATCTTCACTTCATTACTTTGCCTAAGTTATTCATTTAATAATGTACTGCACGAGAAACTTCCTTGGAACTTTTAACAAACGACTTTTCAGACAAATAAAATAGGAGCTGCAAGGAAACTCAAAAATATACAGATATATTTTTATAACTCATAATCATTCTCCGAGTGAAAATAATAATTTTAATAAAATATTACGTTTTCATAAAAGATTCAAAACTCACTCAAAGTCTCTGATAATTTGTAATTCATGATTTACAGGAATTCAA